CTAACCGAGAGAAAGAAAGAGAGAGGGGCGGTGGTTGAAAGGCGAAGAGAGTTGTTCTAGGTTGTGATTTTGGTTTTTCTCTGGAAGGGAAGGAAGAAGAAGAGGCTGGCGGCGGTGAAAACCCAGAGGGGTTTTGGTTCGAAGAAGAGAGGCGAGAGTTGAGAGTGAGAGGGCGGCGTTGTTTAGTCTGGCTAGGGCTTCGTTGGTGTTTTTTTTCTGGGACGAGAAGAGTGGATAGCCGAGAGGAGAGGTGAGACGAGAGAAAGGTTGGAGGCGGCCTCCGCTAGGGTTTGGTTTTGTTTTAAGAAGAGGTTTATGTACCTCATCAATTATGAAGACAAAAATGCCCTTAGGGTTTCCTAATTACTACTCGTCCTGCCACCGCGTTTTTTGCGAAATTACCAAAGTGCCCCTCTTGTGTTTGTAGAAATATAAAATACGAGGCTGAGTCCGGGTTTCGAACCCAACACCTCAAGCCACAGAAGTTAGTTAACCAACGAGTAGACCAGTTGGTCTCCGATTATTTTGCTTAGTCAGTTAGTGTGCCCTTACTAACAAATAGTCTTTGAGTTAAGTCAAATTCCATTATTTTCAAATACTCAAACCTTTATTCATGTTTCATCAATTAACATATTATTCGTTTTTTTTTAAATATTTTATAACCACGATCAGAGGGACTTGCTTATAACTAAAATATCAAAGTTAACTAACGAACTACGTGGGCTTTGATCCCGATTAACTCGGGTACGTAGGCAACCAATAACCAATAGGTTCGAGTCCAACTAATCAAAAATACTTTCTTACTTATGAGATTTTGCGTCAATATACGTATGATCGAATCGTAAAAATAAATACCTAATTATTTGAATCTTATAATTTAATACGAAATAGGCCGCAAATAATAATGCACCCGACATTTTAAAACTTATCGATTTAAGTAGTACCAATTTTTGGGCGTTGTGGGGTGCGAATACACTTCCCCACACGTAACCGTACTCCCGAACCAAAATCTATAAATTTCGCTGACCAAACCCCGGTTTCGACCCTGAGGTCGAGATCGGGTCAAATGGTGTTCGACCCACCACATCTAAGGTCGATGGCGACTCCGACCGATTCGCGACGGATCTCGCCGATTCGGAGTTGCGGTTGCGACACCCAGAAATGTTAATGGACTTCCATCTAATGCAATAACCCATGCACGTGTAGTGATTAAATTGCAAGGGGGAAGCCTTTGGTTTAACCTGTAACCGATTGCATGAGGATGGTCAATTTTTGCTTCCTCCTGTATGATCCCAATGATGGCAATGCTAGGCGCAAGGACATTGCTGTTGGCGCTTCTCTTTGCTGCTCGTAGGTGGGGGAAAGATTGAATCCACGGAGCTAGCTGCGGTCGAATGTCCTCCGAGTCCCTAGCATAATCGAGAGCTTCGCGGCCTGCCTTTTCAATATCCAAGCTGCTCAATTACTTCCAATCCCTTGCTTAGCAGCGGTCTCCTCTATCTCTCTTCGGGGCAACAAAAGCATGGCGGCGGGGAGTGCTGCTTTGCGAAGAGGGTTTCTGAAGGGCGGTTTGGGTTTATTCATGCTGGCGGTTGAGTACGTAGGTCACCTAGGTCCTTGTACCTTCTAACTTTAAATCTCTTACTTTCTTCCAAGATGCTTCGTCTCTCCCTTTAGCCATCATTTGAATGGTCATATCCTCGTTACTTCTTGCTTCACCCTGAAACCTCACACTACTGCTTTTGCTTCCTGTATGCATTAACGACATCGTTTGCATCTTTCTCTAGCTTGCTAACAACTTTATAAATCCCTTCAAGAGTCATGACCTTCCCTTTTTGGCTTACTTGTTCACTCCTGGCGCCTAACTTAGCACTTCCTTTTCGTCTCTTGAATCTGAAACTCTCGCACTATCCATTCTGCTACTCTTAAATCCTAGCTGAAATTCCTCGTACGGTTTCCCCGTCCAATAAATTTTTATCCAAGAGATCGACACCTTCCACTCGCATAGGCGATCTTGGCTTTACCTTGGGGTACCCTATAAGATTCCCTAAACTCATATCCCTATTACTTCTCTACTCGTGACTCTTCTCCTTGATGTTACCCGCTAGTTCTAGATGTCCCTTGTTCTCGATGTAGTCATCTAGGTTCTCATATTCTCTTCTCACTTATGTACCTTGACCTATAAGGTTCTCCCTTCGACTACTCTAGACGACCACAATTCCACCTTACAATTGGCCGAAATCTCTCGATGGACTTCCTATGGATCAATAGTTCTCTACTGGTAATCAACCTAATGCTTTCTTGTTGTCTGCTGTACTCCTGCTTTGGCCCGTCCTAGATATCTTCCTTGACGCATACATCGTTCGTCGACGACCACCATTTTCTTTCTGTATCATCCTATGGTGTTCTCCTTGCTTCTTTACTTTTACTACCCTTCTGTTGTTGCTTTCTACAATATTCGGTCACCAACTCCGTTGAGTATCTTCGCATTGTTGTTGTAGGTCACAACTTCCCATGGTGGCGTGCCCTTGGTAACCTTTAAAATAACTCATTACATGTCTCTTTTGTTGATCGATCTTGTACATAAACTTAGTCTCTTAGTTAGGATTCTTAGTGGCTTAACTAAGCGTGCCTGTTTCATCCTAAACTAGTTGTCTCCTCTGAAGCCCTCCTACTATGCCGTGCCCACTCAGAGTGGGGCACCTTGGATAAGGTAACTTCTCTTTTTCCTCCTTCTCGGCAATGCTTTCCCTCATCGTACCTCTTTGTGCAGCTTCTTGACCTCGAGTCACCTGAGACTTGACCCATTGACTTCTTGAAATCTCGTCAAACTCCCTCTGGCCTTTTTTTGTCTTCCTTGGTATCGTTCGCAAACTCTCTTCATTACGATCGTTTAGAATCTTCCTCGAATTCTCCAACTTTCATTAGAACTTCTAATGAATGTTGTACTTGCTTGTCTATACCCCGTTGATTGAATGATTTACTCCTACGGCTGATTCCGAGACCTCCGCTCTTAGCCCTCTAGTTCCAACTTAGTAGAGAGGTCCCTCCTTCTGTCACCCCTCATGTACCATAGGCGGCTAGGTGCTCCCTCCATTTAGGATAGGACTATCCCATAACAGGTCATCACGAACTCTCCATTCCCCTTTCAACTATCCCAACGACCTCCTGACCTTTCATGATCTGGGTAGTTTGTAGGGTCTCTAATATCCTCTTTCTAGCTCCGTGTTGACGTAGTCTTGTGAGATCAGCTCTTGTGATGTCCTTTGTACAGATTTATTTTTCTTTCTGTCAAAAAAATCTATCGCCATTATAAAAAAAAATTATGAATTTTAAGGGAATTAAGTTAGCACCATACTAACTACTCTAACAACCATTAGATTAAAAAGATAATTCTACTCGAAGAATCAAGGAAAACCTATTTGGGCGGTTTTGAATTTCTACGAGTTGGCTTTGTCTTGGCGTAGTGTTTCCATAAAAAGATGCTTAATTATCGTTGTAATTGTGTTGGTTCGTTATCAAATATGCCTCAGTATCAATTATCAAAGATGCAGATATTTGTCTATTGATTAGTAGTGAAATGTAGTAGTGATTATTTAATATAGTAGTGTAGTTGCCTTGAGTAGTAGTAATTTTGTAGTTATGATTCCTATTTGTAGATATTAGATTATAGTAGCTATTTTTAAGAAGTGACTCATCATAATATTCAACAACCACTACTACTTAAAAATTAGCAAAAAATGCTAGTAGTCAAATCAAAATAGCAATTGTAAACCTATAAAAACACTATTATAGCCACCAAAATAGCTACTCCTATAAATCACCAAAATCGCTACTAAGATAAATGGTTGAGGTTGTATATTTTTTGTAGTAGTAATTTTTCCTTATAAAAATGCTCTATTAAAGCGACCGAATAAATATTTTAAAATGTAATTTATTTATTAAATTTAATTTTTCAAAATACAAAATATACTCCTCATTACTTTTCACTATCAGATTTAATTAAATATAATAAATGATTATTAGAATAGTTAGTACAGTGCTAACCTCTTATGGAGTTAGCACTCTAACTTGTCCCATAAACTTCCTTCCACTAATGTACAAAGACCCACTACTTGATTTTCTCCTTACGTGGAGAAGATGTGGCAGCAAATGTCACTCCTCTAGTCCTCCCCACGACTCTTCTTCTCCCTAACTTCTCTAATTGTTGCTTCTTTAATGTTTTAAGAATTCCCAATTTTAAGTCCATCAACATGCATTTCTCTGATCACCTGTAGCTTCCCCATTCATCTTCTTGTTGCGATAAGAATAAATTTTCTAAGTGCATGATAATTGTCGAAAACATATTGATTCTATATGCTTAATGTGATTATTTTATAATATGTTTGAGACAGACATACATATATATATATATATACGGGGAGTTCTACGGTACCCAGGGTGAAATCCGGGTTACCGCATACCTTGAGTAAGAAAACGGTATCCAGAACTTGAATTCACTAATCTTTCGGATATGATACAATACTCTAACCCTTAAAGATCATCATCTAGGTCTTAATTCTCTAAATCTTATACCCGAATATCAATTTAATTAGAAACAATAATCGACGGTTATGATTCGTCCAAATACAGACAAAAAAATCAATGCACCATCTTAGTGTTTATAGTTTATGATTTAGATAATTAGGTCCTAGGGTTAACTCATTAAGGGTTAGGGACCATATATATATATATAATATGCTTGTTTTAAGGCCAACTGACTATGAAATGGTATTACCACCATGTGTTGAGAGTTTTGATATGCTTTTAGGTGGGGAAAGAAGAAATGGTGAATGTGCAAACAAAATACCCAAGTAGTTGGCTAAAAAAAATGTGGGGGAGAGTTCTCTCTTTTCCCCGCAAACTCTTCCGAGCGGGCGCCCTGCTTTTAGAGGTTTCCTGATTGCTTGCAAGGATCCTATGCTGCGGAATCTCATCGGTGTTGGCGTTCAGCTTGCAAAATGAACGTACTAGAAGGTCGTGGGAACGTTGGTACCCTGATTGCACCGGATGGAGTCGCACATCCAATGCCCGGCCGGCGACCTGGAGACAGTGCGATGGGACAACAACCGAGCCAGCATCCCTGTCGGAAAGCCCAGAAACGCAAGCCAGATTGTCACCCAGGCCAAGATTTTGAACCTGGTGCTTTGAAAAAAAGGAAGGTGTTAAAGTCGGTGGCATGGCGGTTTCGGCTGCCGTCGTCGGTAGAGCTGGAGAAAGATGAAGGGGTTGCTCCCACTTCTCCGCTCTTTATTACTTCAGGCTTGGTGAAGGCGCGTCCAGTTATCAATGTGGTGCTGCCATGCCCCCTGCTCTGATCCCATAATGGGACGAGCGTTATGTCTCGGAGGGTAAGGGAGGAATTGCCGATGCGATTCCCCCAGCCCGGGCCGGTGGCGGAAGGCCAACGGGATCATGGACCAAGTGTTCTTTTTCGGAGGGTAAGGGTGGACTTGCCGGTGCAATTTCCCAAGCCCTGGCCCGCGGCGGAGTGCCGTCCGGATATTTCTCTGCAGAGTATCCCTACGCGGATAACAAACAAAGATCGCCTACCTTTCCGTATCCCGGATTTGGTGGCAGACGTTGGAGTTGGAATATCCCGCCGTATCGTTAAACGGTGGGGACAATCTCCGCGTTCGTCCCTGACGCTTATCTGTAGACCCCGTGTCCTACTAGGGCACGTTTTACCGTTGGGTGAACCTGGTTCTACTTTCTATTTAAACTCAGAGCCCTCCTCGATAATTCTTCACCATCACAAGCGGTGAGAATTGATCCTGGACGTGGCAGACGGGGCAGATAGTGCAGACTCCCCCAGGCGCGAAAACCTAACTGGTATGTGGGTGCTTAATGTAACCGATGTCAATTTCTTGCTTTGGAGGGATAATGTCCTGTGGTGGCGTTTCCTGAGCTCATTCTCAAGCTTCCCCTGGTCACCCACCTTTTGTTTCGATACATGGGGGATTGGGTTTCCTCATCCGCTACTCTTATTGCAGGCGTTCACCATGGCTCGTGTTGCTAAGCATCAGATTGTGCAGTTCTCTATGGAGGAAATTCAGTCGGAGAGGGCACGCAAATCATTGAATTTGCTGAGCCACCTTTTCACGGATAGCAAGATCACTCCAAGTGAGCTACGAGAATCGATAAATCATCTCTGGCAAGGTCAGGATAGGATCCGTGTCCGTTTGGCTGCTCATGGGTTATTCGAGTTTGTCTTTCCGTCGGAGGAGGCCAAGCTCTGGGTGCTTAAACGCACGCCATGGGTGATCAGCGACAAGATCCTCCACCTTCGACACCTGTTGTCACCAGACGTACTTTTGAGGACTTGGCGATAGCCCCTTTCCGGATCCAGCTGTGGGATGTCCAGGAGGAGTGCTGCACTCAAAAGTTTGGGCGGAAGGTGGCAAACGCCACTCTAGGGCAAGTTCTTGAGGCAGGAGTGTTCTCATGCAATGACTCGGCACAACATTTTATTAAGGTGAAAGTTTTGGTGGACTTTTCCAAGCCTTTGAGGTCTCAAATCTTGGCGACAAATGATGAGATAGGTTGCTTCTGGATTAGCCTCAAATATGAACACCTTCCGAGCTTCTGTTTCAATTGTGGACGTGTAGGCCACATACGCCGTACCTGCACCTTTGATCCGCCAACTAGGAAGGAAAGGTTCGGCCCGCACATGTCCATAAAGAAGTCGGGCCGTAAGGTGTATGATGCTGATGAGGAGGCTCCTCATTTTCGGGGGGGGGGGGGGGGGGGGGGGGGGTAGTATCGAGGTCTGTTTGGGTGAATCGCGATGTTCAGAAACAAAAAGAGGCAGACGTGAAGGTGGAACGCTGCCGTGAAGAAGGGTCCAGGCGGGACCGTGTTCAGGAGAAAACGATGGGGAGGTCGGATAGTCCCCTTTGGATTGGTTCCTCCTCGAACCCTTTTATGGAAGTCGAACCTAAGGAGGCTCAAGGGAGAAGTCCCCACCGCTTTCCCATGTCAAAATCTCCCAAGTTGGTTATTGGGAAGCAATCTCGTCGGGCTTCAGCACGTCGAGCAGATTGGGTAGCTCTTATGGTGATCGATTGTCAGCACCCTCCACCAAAGGAAGCACGAGGTCGGGGGCTTATGAATCTTGGCCGGCACGAGGCTCCGCGTTCCAGCAGGCAAGGAAGGGAGTTCTTAATATGGCAGCAGTACCCACTCAGAAGCCTGAGGTAACCACGATAGCTAAGGAGACGGCTCTATCCCGCCGACGTCGATTAATCCTAGAGGAGGAGTCGGAAGATAATTTTCAAGTTCAGGAGCTTCCTCACCTTGCTTGTCCCTCGGGGAATGATATTGGGATAGCTGACGAGCCCCCTGCCATCCCGTTGCGTGCTTCTGGCCCTCCTCGGGAACGTGGCACAATGGAGGATTTGCCTCGCTCGTGGATAAGGGTTTGCAGGTTGGGAGTGGCAAAAGATCCTCGACTGGCCGCAATGAGTTCAAGGCCAAGGGTGCTCCATCAAAGGTGCGCTCGAGGATGATGAATGGGAAGGGAAAGAAGCAGAGAGGTACTGGCAAGGCTGGCACGTCCCTTGCGCCAGCCTTGCCAAGTCGGAGGACTCCGATGTGCTACCTCACTCTCTGGCGGAACAAATGGTGCTCCATTCTGATGGAGAGCAGACCGATCCGCGAAAGGAGGCAGATTCCGAGACCCAGCTATCGGGTGAGGACGCCACTCTTTTCGAGTTGAAGATGCGGGCTCCAAAGAAGAAGTCGGTGGGAAGCAGCACTCGGCCTGGGCGTGTGAGGCGTGTTGTTCAGGCCTTTGAGTCGGGTAAGGCCCAAAATGGGGAGCGCTATGCTGTGAGCCCTCGGCTGCCTGAAATCCTGCAATCCCTGGATGGGCTAAGTGTGAATGATCATGCCAGCAGGGAGAGCCCTCTTGCCTTCAATGAGTATGGGACCAATCTCGGGGAGTTGGAGGTCGGGACTCGAAAACGCCATTTGGACAAAGTTGATGATGCCATGGCGGATGCCCCGACACCAAAGAAGCAATTTGTGGAAGAGAAAAATGAACCGGAAAAGGTGGAGGAAGCTAGCCTCGAACGGCCCCAGTCAGATAAATGAAGCTTCTGGCCTGGAATGTGAGAGGAATTGGACCATCCCTCACATTCCAAACGGTAGTTGGTTTGGTGCACTCTAATAAACCGGATCTCGTGTTTTTTTTCTGAAACACGATCGAGACGGAAAGTAGTTGCCCGACGTTTGCGGGGCCTAGGTTTTCTCTCTTCTAGTTGTTTTTTTGTTGATGCGGTTGATGCATCAGGTGGCTTGGTTGTGGCTTGGTCCCCTGAAGTTGATGCTTCGGTGGTATTTCATTCGGATTTTTGTATTTGCGTTCAAGTTAATGAATTTAACTTTTCGTATGTTGTGATCTTTGTTTACATTAGTTGTCTTGTTGCTACAAGAGCCACCCAGCTGGAAGAATTGCGAGATATTTGCGGTGGTGTCACTAGTCCCTATGTTATTATAGGAGACTTTAATACTACTCTGCACGAGAGTGAAAAAGACGGGGGTAACCAATGGAATGCTCTTCAATCGCTTAGCCTACGTGATTTTATTCAGGACATGGGCCTCATTGATCCGGGGTATCAGGGGGATCCTTTTACCTGGACGAACAAACGGATGGGAGCTGCTTGTATCCGTGAACGATTGGACAGAGCTCTTTGCTCCCAGACCTGGCTGGGTCGTTTTCCAGATACCCTGGTTAAGCACTTCACAGACCAGGGATCGGATCATCATGCGCTCCTGCTGTCTGATAAGCCTTATGTCCGGAATAGTCGCCCTCTATTCAGGTTTGATGCTCGATGGGCGGATAATCCGGAAGTTAGAGCTATGGTGACTTATGTCTGGCAAGAAGAGATCCAAGGAACCCCCATGTTTCGACTTTGGGAATGTCTAAAGAAACTCCTTCATTTGTTGTATGACTGGAGCCGAGTAGGAACGACTAATTCTTTGCGAAATATCAAGACTCTGCAGGCTGAAATTGATCGGATTAAGCAAAGTCACCCCATTGACTGGGATGAGGTCCGGGGCCTTGAGATTGAGTTAAATAGACAATGGGAGGCGGAGGAAGAGTACTGGCAGCAAAAATCCAGGGTCCGCTGGCTTAATAAGGGGGACAAGAACTCATCTTATTTCCATACAGTAACGAGGACCCGCCGGAACGGAATTTTGTGAGTGAGCTCCGGGCCGATGATGGTGAGTGGATCACGGATGAGAAAGGTAAAGCAGATATTGCTACAAGCTTCTATCAAAACCTGTTCACGTCTGATAATCAGGTCCGGAATATGAATAGCATACATGATCTTCCCATCGCCCAAAGCGTAACCCCAACAATGAATGAGGCTTTGACGGCTGTCGTGCTCCTAGAGGAGGTACGCAAAACTGTATTTGCTATGGGCTTGAAGCAAGCCCCTGGGTCTGACGGCTTCACAGGGAAATTTTCAAGGCCTTCTGGGATATTGTGAGACCCTCGGTAATTGACGCAGTTTGATCATTTTTTACTTCTGGTCGGCTACTCCGCAGCTTCAACCACACTTGGCTCACTTTAATTCCTAAAGTTGACAATGTGGAGACGATGAGGCATTTACGACCAGTCAGCTTATGCCAATTTGTTAACAAAATCATAACAAAAATTTTGGCAGAGCGGTTGGCCAATGTCTTACCTCATGTTGTCTCGGAAGGACAGAATGCCTTTATCAAGGAGCGCCAAATTGTGGACAATATCTTACTTGGGCATGAGCTCATGCATTACCTAAAAACCAAAACACGGGGGAAGAAAGAGTTCATGGCCCTAAAGGTTGACATGGAAAAGGCCTATGATAGAGTCGAATGGCCTTTTCTTCTTGCGGTTTTGGAAAAATTGGGGTTTAGCTCTGTTTTGGTAGGATGGATCAAGGAGTGCCTCAGTTCTGCATCATTTTCGGTTATGATGAATGGCTCCCCGTCTGGCTACTTTTCTTCTTCCCGGGGTTTACGCCAGGGGGACCCATTGTCTCCTCTCCTTTTTGTGCTTTGCACTGAGGGGTTTGCGGCTCTCCTCCGAAAGGTAATTTCAGAGAACAAACTGGCTGGGATTAAAGTGGCCCCGCGTGCCCCAAGACCGTCGCATTTATTTTTTGCGGATGACTCTTATTTATTCCTGCGAGGCACACTTCATGAGTGTGAAAACCTTATTGAAGTCTTGAATGAATATGAGGAGTTGAGTGGCCAAAGGATGAATCTAGCTAAATCGGCAGTTTGCTTCAGCAGGAATATAGTCCAGCAGGACCAAGAATTCTTGGCGGCA